ACGCTTACGCAAACCAACATAACCAACGGGAAGATGAAGTCTTCCCCTACCCGATGGTGACGTTGATTTGAGTGGGCGAGCCTTGGCTTTCTAGAAATCATCGAGAGAAGTCATTGTTTACAAAAGTTGCTACGCCCTAATTCCAGCTCTATCTAGATTTATGAATTTATTCAGTTCCTTCTGAAGTGATTTCAAACATTTCTGAAGTGATTTAGTTCTTTAAGAAGTGATTCCGAATTTCTTTGAAATAATTCAGTACTTTTCGAAGTATTTCCCAACATTTCTGCAGTGATTGAGTACTTTCCGAAGCGATTTACAACATTTCCCTACTCTTTCTAACAGACTCCGAATATTTCAAAAGTGATCTAGTACTTTCCTAAGAGATTTAGAACCTTTGCTTCAGAACTTTCAGAAGTAATTATGAACATTTCTGAAATGATTCAATTCCAACCGAAGCGATTCCAAGCTTTTCTGAAGTGAATCAGTACTTTTCGAAGTGATTCTGAAGGTTTCTGAAATGATAAAGTGCTTTCCGAATTGATTCCGAATATTTCTGAAGTGATTCAGTTCTTTCCGAAGCCATTCTGAACATTTATGAACTGATTCAGTACTTTTCGAAGTGTTTTCGAATTTTTCTCAAAAGTGATTCAGTACTTTCCGAAGTGATTTAGAACTTTTCTGAAGTGATTCAGTACTTATGGATGAGATTCCAAACGCTTCTGAAGGGATTTAGTTCTATTTTAAGTGACTCCGAACTTTTCCAATGTGATTCACAGTACTTTCCGATCCGAAGTGATTTAGAACTTTTCTGAAGTGAGTCAGTTTTTTTCCGAAGTGATTCCGATTTTTTTCGAAGAGATTCAGTACTTTTTGAGGTGATTTGGAAATTTTCTGTAGTCAATCAGTACTATCTTAAATGATTCTGATTTGAGTTCTGAAGTGATTCAGTCCATCCCGAAGTGATTCCGATCATTTCAGAAGTGATTCAGTACTTTTGGATGAGATTCAAAACACTTCTGAAAGGATTTAGTTCTTTTTGAAGTGACTCCGAACTTTTCCAATTCGATTCACAGTACTTTCCGATCCGAAGTGATTTAGAAAATTTCTGAAGTGAGTCAGTTTTTTCCGAAGTGATTCCGAATGTTTTCGAAGTGATTCATTGATTTCAGATTTGAAAATTGTCTGTAGTCATTCAGTACTACCTTAAAAGATTCTGATTTGATTTCCGAAGTGATTCAGTCCATCCCGAAGTGATTCAGTACTTCCCGGAGTGATTCCGAAAAAAATCTGAATTGATTCAGTTCTATCCAAAGTCATTATGAACCTTTCTGAAATGATTCCATTCATTCCGATGTGATTCATAACTTGTCTGAAATGAATCAGTACTTTCCGAAGCGATTCCGATCATTTCTGAATTGATTCAGTACTTTCCGAAGAGATTCCGAACAATCGAGACAGGGCTTGAAAGCACCACAGGGCGTTAGCAAAGTAACTTTGTACATGCATCTCACAACACTCGACAAAGAGTGTGTGTGGTTTTCCCATTTACTTCGCATACTCTTTTCCAACTAAACTGTGAGAAAGCGATCGACACAATGAGTGGTACACTCCGTGCGGCGCGCAGGGAGCGAATATAATACAACAAGCGCTAATGTCTTCTTTGATTTGATTACCACGACTGCATGCATTGGAGATGAAGAAAGGCATAACAAAGAAGAATGTTGTCCATTTGCTGTGTTTCCCATTTGCAACCCTACACTGAGTGGCGCGCTCTTTGCGTCGGAGCCGTCGGAGCGATGGCTACACATTGAGCTTTCGTTATTTCTGGGTCTGTCTTCTCCGCTCCGCTGCTTTACACTTGCGCAGGGTGAAAAACAAGTCAACTACTTTGTGTATGCATGATTCTCACTTTGTATGTTCCAGAAAATGAGTACATTACGCGCATTGAGTGATCAGATGACAGCCCTGATTCGAGAGTTATTCAGCACCTTCTGAAATGATTTAGTTCTCCATACGAATGAGTAAAAGTGACTCCTTTATCTCACTGGAGCTGCATGGTGAGTGAATTCTGAGCTAAGAGGTGAATCATGTGATAGATAAGATCCATCTGAATAATTTCACTGAATGCAGAAACCTGCTTTCTGGTCGTGCTGTCAAGTTAAAACATAGAATCCAATCGGACCCTTGTGCATTCTGAATCACTTTTTTTTTCCTAGCTGAGATGGCAAACTACACTGAAATCGAATCTCACTCAGAGAGAGTAAGTCACTCATTCGTACGCCAGAATTTCCAAAAGCGTAGGTTACTCACTCGCTGAGTTAGTTTCATTTTCAGTGTACAACGCAACGAACACCTCTCGACAGCACTCGGCAGTCAAACGATGACTGCAGTCAAATTTTCTACGTTTTCTTACATAAGCACCGCCTCTTTCTGTAAAAATGTGGGGTCCTGAGAAGGACCCATTGTTCGATCTCCACTACTACGTTGTCCGAGGCGAAAATGAGCTTCGGTACGACATCGTTCGTAACTTCAAGCTCATCCCACACCTGCCCGATATCATCCGGTCAATGACTCTCCACCAATGGAAAACCGCCAGTCGGAGCATCGGATGATATCAGGTAGGTTCGGATAGCCTAATGCAAAAACAGCTCTTGTTGAAGAGGTGAATTTCCTATCAATTGGTGTATTTGGATTTTAATTTCATCAATAAATGATAAAGTTAGAAGAGTTCAAAACCTAACACTATTTCGACGCACATTTTCTTTGATTTTCACAACAGTATAGTCCACAAAGACGTCGTGTTACGTCAAAAAGCAGAACTCTAGGTTCAGTTTCAAGAATTTACCACTTTAACGGATGTTCCGGATCTTCCGGAGGACCATCCTGTGGACCCCAGAGTTCATTTTCGGCTCACAAATCCAAAATCATATTGATAAACTTCAATGAATAATTTCGAAAAAAACAGCCCTGAGTTCCAGAATTAGTTTCATCAAGGTTGTTCCGGTTTCATTGATTTACCACATTCACGGATGTTCCGGATCTTTTGGTGGACCATAACGAGGTCCCCTGCATTCATATCCTGATCACAACTCCAAATTCATTCTGATAAGACGCCTACGAGATGTATCGAAAGTTCTAGGATCAGTTCAACTACTTGACCACTTTTACGGGTGTTCCGGATCTTTCGGAGTACCATCCTGTTGTCCCTGCATTAGGGTGGGGCTTACTTTTCAAAATCTTTCGGGGACACGTTTTGTCATGTGGAAAATGATAACTAGGGCCAAATGAACAACATATCCAAAAATGAGACTTGAGAGTGGCGCCAGAAGCCTAAGTCCAATATATCGAACGAAGCTGATTTTCGAACACGTCTATAGTGCGTCTTTAAGTAAACATGTGATTTCGTTACCCTAAAGGGCAAATTTTTTGTCCGTTTGGCGATATCTTTAGCCATTTTTGAGATATATGGCATACCAGGTTTGGACTTACGCCCACAAATATGATCTAGTTCATTCTGATAAGACGTCTTTTAAGAGTTTTCGAAAAAACTGCGGAGCTCTAGGATCAGTTCCATACACAGTTTGACCACTTTTACGGATGTTCCGGATCTTTCGATGAACCATCCCGTGGACAACTCCGAATTCATTCTGATAAGATGTCAATGAGTGGTTTCGAAAAAACTGCGGAGTTCTAGGATCAGTTGAATCACTTGAATTGATGAATTTATCACTTTTACGGATGTTCCGGATCTTTCGATGGGCCATCCCGTGGTCCCCAGCGTCTATTTTCAGATCACAACTCCGAATTCATTCTGATAAGATGTCAATGAGTGGTTTCGAAAAAACTGCGGAGTTTTAGGATCAGTTGAATCGCTTAAATTGATAAATTTATCACTTTTACGGATGTTCCGGATCTTTCGATGAACCATCCCGTGGTCCACAGCGTCTATTTTCAGATCAGACTGATAAGACGTCTATGAATGGTTTCGAAAAAACTGCGGAGTTCTAGGATCAGTTGAATCACTTGAATTGATGAATTTATCACTTTTACGGATGTTCCGGATCTTTCGATGGACCATCCCGTGGTGCCCAGCGTCTATTATCAAATCACAACTCTGAATTCATTCTGATAAGACGTCTATGAATGGTTTCGAATAAACTGCGGAGTTCTAGGATCAGTTGAATCGCTTGAATTGATGAATTTAGAACTTCGGCAGCACTTCTCTGAGCTTCGGTAGGACTTCCCTGAACTACGGCAAGACTTCCCTGAACTTCAGTAGCGCTCCCTGTCCTTCGGCAGTCCTTCCTTGATATTGAACTCTTGGAATTGAAGTTTTTTCAGTATACAAAATTTGTATTCAATATACAAAGTGTAATGCAAGTCGGAGAAGATCGAGTCTGAAACTCATTTTGTTTTTACTATTTTTGGCTATTCAAAAAGACCGAAGCCGAACCTAAACCCAATCAGAACCCTCCGAACGAGTTCAACCCCCACCGCTCGTCTGGGATTTATTGAATCACAAACACATCCTCGTAGCCCAGGAGATCCACGTGAAGAATGAAACAGCATGCATTGTGTGTGTTCGTGTGTGTGTGTGCAAGTATAGAGGAAAGAGGAGGCTCCGACTTTCGTCGTCATGGGTGAGACGAAAATGACGATGATGACGATGCGATGATGACAATGATCATGGCGGTGGTAGTGTTTTTGGTGGTGTGACGTCTCCTGTGTGATGAATGACACTGACCGAAATGTGAACGATCAAAACGTTTGATTTTCCTTTCTAAGAAAAAATGTAGTTATGTTGTGTTGCCGATTGGCTGATCAACTCTCCGGGGGTTAGTAAAATGCAGTTCATCGGTGCGAAAATTATTCAAAATGGCTGCTCAGTAGATGGTGACCGGCGATGATGGCGCGCTCGCGTAACAGCGTAGTAATGGGGTTAGTCAACGGACGATCTTTCGGAAAACGAGAATTAAGTGTTTTGCTGGGGTTTGACTTACCTAGGATAGCACCGACGATCACTTCGGGGATCTCGACGTTCTTCTCCTTGCTGGTGGTCATCTCAGCCGGCGTGGGGCTCTTGCTGAGCGAACCGAGCGACTGCGCGGCGGCCGCCGCATTCAGCGCCGAGGCACTGGTCAGTCCGAAGGCATTGTTGTTGATCGACATCGGTGTGGCCGCTTGCGTGCCCGGATGCCGGAACGGATCAAAGGTAGCGTCGTAGCGTTCCATCGAGGTACGGGGCGTCGCGGTGCCAGCACCGTGCAGATACGATTCCAGATTGATCTGCCCGACGGCACCGTACACTCCGGAGGCGGCGTTTGCCGCTGCCGCTGCGGCCGACGATTGCTGCAGCTCAGACACGCCCAGGAAGCTCAGTGGCGACTGATGGGTTCCATTCTGGAGCCCTACGCCGATGCCTAGCACACCGTATTTGGCGAGGACGGACAGCGCCGCGTGGACCTCATTGGTAGCCGTGTCGGAGTAGCCGGATTGTCTCATGGCACCCTGCGATTGGGCGAGACGAAAAAGGGAATCAGAAAACAAAAGAGAGAGAGAGAGAGAGAGAAAGAGAAAACATTAGTACGGACTGGCTGGCCGGTTCGATCGTTTTTCGTGTAGCTGAGAGGAAGAGAAATCGATAGAGAGTTACGTAGAGTTTTTGAGCGTAGACGCAAAAACACTAGGCAATGGGAATTGTCTTCTTTTGTTTCTCATTGTTTTATTTTCTGTTCATTGTGAGAGCGGGGTAAAGCGAGATTCTTTTTTTTTTTTTTTGGTACTGTTTTTGGGATGTCTCGTGAACACAAAAGAAAACTATCGCTTCGGAAAAATGTGACAGAAACAGAAAGAGAGAGAGAGAGGGCGAGAGAGAGAAATAGGTTGGGGAAAGGAAAACAAAAACTTAACGAAAGAAGAGAGAATATATAAAAATTATCGAAATGAAACTTCTACCTTAATATGTTCAAGCAATTGTGTGGTAACTGTAGGATTAGTTTGTGGTGAAGGTGCACCTAGATTTAATGACAGATTCAGTCCGGTGCCGTTGACCAGTAAACCGGCCGCGGAAGCCCCGGGCATGGTGCCGCCCAGTGCGGAGTTTAATGATGCGGTACTGGAGCTGAAAGTGGGATTCTGTGAGGCGGCAAATGGCGAACCAGTGGGGTTGAAATTGGCCACCGGTCCGTTGATGTCTGCGTATGATACGTTCAAGCATGAACCGGATGAGGGATCTTCGACGATCTTCGCCAGGATCATCTTGCATGCAATCTTGTTGTTCTCCTTCTCGCCGATGATCGTAATGCACCGCTCCTGGAGGGTGAGTTCTTTCGGCTTTTGCGAGATCTGCACGTACGAGCCCGATTCCTCTTTGATCTGTTTGATGTAGGCGCCGGCCTTGCCGATGATCATGCCGGCCGTCGAGTTCGGTACCAGCACCTTGACCTGCTTGTCACGGTCGGCCGCCTGCTTGGCGTCCGCGTCCGTTAGCGCTTTGGTCATGTCGGGCTTCTCGCGAATCTTATCAATGATAAAATCGAGCACAGTCAATATGCCATCGACTGTGCCGCTAATGAGACAGACTCGTTCGGATGTTCCTTGAGGATGAGAAGTAAAATGAGAGAGAGAAAAAAAGAGATATTCGGTGAGCTGAGAATGTGAAACTTTATACAGATGCTGATAGACGGAAAGAGAGACAGACAGACAGAGAGAGAGAGAGAGGGGTGGAAAAGAGATAGATAGACAGATAATGACGCGCTGAAACAGTCATCCGGTCATCGACAGTAGGCTTTGCCTTTTGAGGTCCAAAAGCTCGTCAAGGCCTACTGTCGATCGCCAACGGTGAAACGGATCTTTGTTTAGCAATGTAAAAAATAAATAAAGGAAAAAAGTTACGATATTAAAACACTGAAGTAAAGGACGAGTTGAATTTGCCGGGTCTTAGCAACGAAAATTAAAAAAATGCATCGAAATGGACAAAAAATGAATGGCTACAATGGGAAAATGTATGCTCTGATGCTCCGAATGGACAAAACGGTACACGGCGGCGGTGTTTGGTTGGATTTTTGTTTTCAAATGTCACCGAAAGGATATTGTGATGCTGTTGGTGGTGGTAGTAGTAGTAGTAGTAGTAATAGTAGTTGGGTAGCAGTAGTAGTGAAAGTGGTTAGATTCTGTGGATTTTTTTTTTTATCTTCGATTCGTTACATTTCCAGAGTTAACAAACGGGGTTAACGAAAGTTTGTTCGTTTTTTGTTTTCGTTAATTAGTGAACATAAAGAGTTAACCAAAAAATAAAGGAAAGTAGGTTGGTAATCAGATAGATAGAGAGAGAGAGTAGAGAAAGATTTCGTTTGGTTTTTTTTTCTGTTTTGCCGTTTTGCATAGTTTAAGGATATTGCTTTTCATTGCTAGAGGTCCTCGCCGTACGTTGAAGGATTCCTGAGATACTGCAGATTTGGGGGTCAAATGGGGGCTTACCGGGATAGAAGTCATGTGCCTTGGACATTTTCACCCGTGCGCCGGCATCCTTCTGCAGGGAGGCAATGGTTTCGCCGCCCTTGCCGATGATGGCACCGGCGGCCACCGACGGGACCAGTGTCTTGAAGTGGTAGTTGTCGCCTCCGGAACCGCCGACCACGCTGCCGCCATTGGTTGTGGTGGTCGTGTTGGTCGTTCCGGTTGCTGAAATGGATGGAAAGATTGTGGTTAGGAAAGTTTGTTTTGTTATTTAGTTGAAATTATTGCTCTCTTTCGTTGGGATGTGTTGACGATGATGATGGTGATCTCCGGTACGTGGTTGAATTGATCAACCGAGAGCACTGTTCAGCAACCTGTAAAGTGATCAAAGCGGTTCTTTTGAAAGAGCAATTCGGAACTGTTCACACGCAGTAGTGTTCGCCTCTACTTCTACAATTGACAATCCGTCTCTACATTTGTGAGTTTTCTAAGCATTGGAAAAATTGAGAATTACAGGCACCGTTTCAGGAGTTTGTAGGAACAGAACTTATGGAAAATCGCACAAGATTTGAGGATCAACTTAACAAGTTTTGTAGAGCAACTTCAGTGAATATGTGAATCAAAAGCTAGGTCACAAGAAGCGCAGAGCAACTCAACAAGACTTTACTTTTAAGGGTTTAGTAAAGAATCATTGTACGTCCTACATAGAAGAGCTTCCACGCAGAACATGGGAACCAACCGTACAGAGCTGGCAGAAAGATTGTCTGAGCAGCTGAATTTCTGAGTCTGTTCAACCACCGAACTCGTGTAGCAACTCTTTCGAATAATCTGGGCAACTCCACAGCACCTGGTCAAACAACTGGAACTCCTAGAGAAGCCCTAAAGCACTTGCAATGCAACTATTGTTGAGCAATTCCTCAGCAACTCATGGGGCAGCATCACAGAATACGAAAGGCAACTTTAAATTATCTGATATACTACAAGCCCTTTCAAGCAACAATTTGGGTTTTATGAGAGTTCAGTAGACATTGATATAGACTTGTAGAATGCTTTACGACCTCGATAAAACTTACAATGTTATCCCACAAGCATTGTGAAGTTGTGTCAAGTCCACGTGGAATTGGTTTACCAGTCCTTCAAACTTGACCATACGTTCAAGTCACATAGTGTTGCTCGTCAAATTCCCTGATGTTGCCCATTGAGTCCTTTAAAGTCCCTTCACTTATGCGATACAGATGGCCTGCAAGTCTTGTAGAGTTGACTGAAATCTGTATAGATTATCCTGTGGAGTTGTATGGAAGCCTTGTGGTCTACTCTTGGAGAAGCCCTACAGAACATGGAATGCAAGTATTGATGAGCAACTGCTCCGCAACTCATGGGACAACTTCACAGAATATGAGAGACAACTCAACATTATTCAATATACTACAAGCCCTGTGGTCTTGTACACCAGTCTTGTCAAATTGATCCGGAAATCCCATTGTATTGAGAAGTTGTGTCAAGTCCATATGCTCTGTGGAATGTTGCTCGTCAAATCCTCTAATGTTGCCCATTCAGTCCACTAAAAGTCTCTTCACTTGCGCGATACAGATGCCTCTGCAAGTTTTGTAGAGTTGCCTAAAATCAGTATAGTTGATCAATATTCCATCCGTTACTCTACGAGGCACAGTGGGGCAAATCATACGGGCAATACAAAAATTCATAACACCTAAAATTCAAGTCATAGAGGTTTGGTGTCTTTGGCAAAGTTGTTCAGGTGAATAAGATCTATCTTTTAATATCATTCGTTTTGATCTAGATCACAATGTTTTGCTCTAGATCAGCTATATCTTTTCGAGGAAGCACGCTATTAAAACAAAACCTTCGACAAACTTTTCCAGATCGATAAGAGTTCTCTTTTGATACCATCAGAACAGACCTTGATTACTAAATCTTGGTCTAGATCAGTTCTATACATTGGTAGAAGCATTATATCGGATAAAACCTCATCACTCCTCAAATTCAAGTCACAGAGATTTGGTGTCCGGTGCAAAGTTGTTCAGGTGAATAAAATTTATATTTTGACATCTTTAGTTTTGATCTAGATCACAATTTATTGTTCTAGATCAGCTCTATCTTTTGAGGAAGTACGCTATTAGAACAAAATCTTCACCAAAGTTTTCCAGATAGATAAGATCTCTCTTTTGATACGTTTATAACAGACCTTGATTACTAAATTTTGATCTAGATCAGTACTGTTTTTTGTAGAAGCGTCTTATTGGACAAATCCTGATAACTCCTAAAATTCAAGCTATAGAGGTTTGGTGTCTTGCGCAAAGTTGTTCAAGTGAATAAGATCTATCTTTTGACACTATGTGTTTTAATCTAGATCACAATATGTTGTCTAGATCAGCTCTATCTTTTCGAGGAAGCACGCTATTAAAACAAAATCTCTCTTTCGATACGTTTACAACAGACCTTGATTACTAAATTTTAATCTAGATCAGTTTTTTTTTTAGAAGCATCTTATCGGACAAAACCTCATAACTCTTAAATTTCAAGTCATAGAGGTTTGGTGTCTCGGGTAAAGTTGTTCACATGAATAAGATCTAGATTTTGACATCATTCGTTTTAATTAAGATCACTACATTCTGATCTAGATCAGCTGAATATTTTGAGGAAGCTCACTATTCAAACAAAATCTTTGCCAAAGTTTCGAGATAGATAGCTCTTTTTGGATACCATTAGAACGAACTTGATTTTTAAATTTTGATCTAGATCAGTTATATCTTCTGATAGAAGCATCTTATCGGACAAAACCTCACAAATCCTAACATTCAAGTCATAGAAATTTGGTGCCCTGGGCAAAGTTGTTCAGGTGAATAAGATCTATCTTTTGACATCATTCGTTTTGATCTAGATTTAAATAATTTGTTCTAGATCAGCTCTATCTTCTCGGGGCAGCACACTATTAAAATAAAATATTTCCCAAAGTTGTCCATAGATGAGAGCTATCTTTTGATATCATCAGAACTGACCTAGAATTCTTAATTGTGATCTAGATCAGTTCTATCTTTGGATTTCTTATTGCACAAAACCTCATAACTCATAAAATTCAAGTCATATAGGTTTGGAGTTCTGAGCAAAGTTGTTCAGGTGAATAAAATCTATATTTTGACATCATTCGTTTTGATCTAGATCACAATTTTTTGTTCTAGATCAGCTGTCTTTGAGAAAGCACGCTATTAGAACAAAATCTTCAGCACAGTTTTCAAGATAGAAAAGAGCTCTCTTTTGATACCATCATAGCTGACCTTGATTACTAAATTTTCGTCTAGATCAGTTATATATTTTTGTAGAAACATCTTATTGACAAATCCTGATAATTCCTAAAATTAAAGTCATAGAGATGTGGTGTCTTGGGCAAAGTTGTTCAGCTGAATAAGTTCTATCTTTCAACATCATTAATTTTGATCTAGATCACAATTTATTGTTCTGGATCAGCTCTATCTTTTCGAGGAAGCACGCTATTAGAACAAAATCTTCACCAAAGTTTTCCATATAGATGAGATCTCTCTTTCGATACGTTTATAACAGAACTTGATAACTAAATTTTGATCTAGATCAGTTCTGTTTTTTTTGTAGAAACATCTTATCGGACAAAACCTCATAACTCTTAAATTTCAAGTCATAGAGGTTTGGTGTCTCGGGTAAAGTTGTTCACATGAATAAGATCTAGATTTTGACATCATTCGTTTTGATTTAGATCACTACATTCTGATCTAGATCAGCTGTATATTTTGAGGAAGCTCACTACTCAAACAAAATCTTTGCCAAAGTTTCAAGATAGATAGGAGCTCTTTTTTGATACCATTAGAACGAACTTGATTTTTTAATTTTGATCTAGATCAGTTATATCTTCTGATAGAAGCATCTTATCGGACAAAACCTCACAAATCCTAACATTAAAGTCATAGAAATTTGGTGCCCTGGGCAAAGTTGTTCAGGTGAATAAGATCTATCTTTTGACATCATTCGTTTTGATCTAGATCAAAATATTTTGTTCTAGATCAGCTCTATCACACTATTAAAATAAAATATTCCTCAAAGTTGTCCAGATAGATACGAGCTATCTTTTGATACCATTAGAACTGACCATAATTACTTAATTGAGATCTAGATCAGTTCTATCTTTGGACTTCTTATTGGACAAAACCTCATAACCCCTAAAATTCAAGTCATAGAGGTTTGGTGTCCTGCGCAAAGTTGTTGAGGTGAATATAATCTATCTTTTGAATTTATTCGTTTTTATCTAGATCGCAATTTTTTATTCGAGATTAGCTCTATCTTTTGAGAAAGCACGCTTAAGAACAAATTCTTCACCTTAGTTTTCCAGATAGATAAGGGCTCTCTTTTTATACCATCAGAACAGACATTGATTACTAAATTTTGGTCTAGATCAGTTCTATATTTTGGTAGAAGCATATAATTGGACAAATCATGATAACTCCTAAAATTCAAGTCATTGAGGTGTGGTGTAATCGGCAAAGTTGTTCAGCTGAATACGATCTATATTTTAACATCATCCATTTTGATCTAGATCATAATATTTTGTTCTAGATTGGTTCTATATTTTTGAGGAAGAACGCTATTAAAACGAAATCTTCACGAAAGTTTTCCAGATAGATAAAAGCTCTTTTTTGGTACCATTAGAACTGAACTTAATTACTAAATTTTGATCTAGATCAGTTCTATCTTTGGACTTCTTATTGGACAAAACCTCATTACTCCTCAAATTCAAGTCATAGAGCTTTGGTGTCCTGGGCAAAGTTGTTCAGGTGAATAAAATCTATATTTTGACACCATTCGTTTTGATCTAGATCACATTTTTTTGTTCTAGATCAGCTCTGTCTTTTGAGAAAGCATGCTATTAGAACAAAATCTTCAGCAAAGTTTTCAAGATAGAAAACAGCTCTCTTTTGATACCATAAGAACTGATTATAGGATTACTAAATTTTAATCTAGATCAGTTCTATATTTTTGTAGAAGCATCTTATTGACAAATCCTGATAACTCCTAAAATTCAAGTCATAGAGGTGTGGTGTCTTCCGTAAAGTTGTTCAGCTGAATAAGTTCCATCTTTCAACATCATTCATTTTGATCTAGATCACAATTTATTGTTGTGGATCAGCTCTATCTTTTCGAGGAAGCACGCTTTTAGAACAAAATATTCACCAAAGTTTTCC